TTTTGGGAGGTTGTCCCGGATTTTCCCCCCCGATTTTGGGAAATTTTTAAAGGGGGGGGAAAAAAAGGGGTTAAAGGACAGGGGTTGGGGGGGTATGTTGAAATTGGTTTTGGTGGTATATTTGTTTGTTAATTTTCCGTTTTTTTGGAAGGGAAAAGGGAAAATTCGTTGGTGTTTTTTGTTTTGGGTTGGGGGGTATTTTTGGTAAGGAGGGTTGGTGTAAGGTTTTTGTTATGTTGTGTATGTTGTTGAAATTTTTGGTGTATGTTTGTATTTTGGGGTTTGTTGTTGTATGTTTGGTAATTTGTGTTGTTTGGGTTTTTTGGTAATTTTAAAGGTGTATGCTTTTTTGGTGTATGTTGGTATTTTGGGTTTAATGTTGTGTATTTTTGTGAAAAGGTTGGGGTTTTTGGGGGGTTCCATTTGGCCAATTTGGGGTTTTTTTGGTGAAATTTTGGGTTAAATTTGGGTGAAATGTTGGTGTATTTTTGTGTATGTTGGTATGTTTGGGGGTTATTTTGGTGGGATGTAAAAATTGGGGTTATGTTGGTGTTTTTGTTGGTGAAAGTTGTGTATGTTGGTATTTTGGTTTTTGGGGTTTGGGTATGTTGGAAATTTGGGTGTATTTTTGGTATTGTTTTTGTTGGGGGGTATTTTTGGAAGGTTGTGAAATTTTGGTATTTGGGGTGTATTTGTGTATGGGGGTTTTTTAAAAATTGGTGGTTTGTTTTGTGAAATTTTGGGTGTATGTAGGTAGCAATTTTTGGGGTGGGTACCTACGCCCGGCCCGGGGATTTTAAGAGGTTTTTTGGGGTATTTGTAAAGGGTTGTGTATGTTGTGAAATGTTGGGTATGTTGGTGTATTTGGGTGAAAATTTTGGGTGTATGTTGGTATTTTTTTGGGGGTATGTGGCCCTTTTAATGTTTTGGTGGTTGTTGTGAAATTTGGGTTTTTTTGGGTTTAAGGGTTTGATGTTTGGTGAAAGTTGTTTTTGGGGGTTTTGTGTATGTTTGTATTTTGGGTTTTTTTGGGGTTAAAATTTTGGGTGAAATTTTTGTTTTTATGTTGTGTAGGGTTTGTTAGGGATATGTTGTGTAGTTGGTGTATTTTGTGTATGTTGTGTTTTTTAAATTTGTTTTTGGGTTATGTTGGGGGGGTATTAGTTGGTGGTTATGTTTTGGTATTTTTATTTTTGGTTTTTGTTTTTTATGTTTGTTTTTGTGTATTTTGGGTGTATGTTGGGTTTTTGTTATTTTGGGTTTGTATTTTTTATTTTGGTGTATGTTTGTTTGTGAATTGTGAAAGTTTTTGTTTGTTGTTTTTAAATTTTTATTTTGGGTGATTTTGGGGTTTTTGGTATGTTTTTTTGGTGTATTTTGGGTGAAAGTTAATGTTGGTGTATTTTTTATTTTTGGTGTATTTGGGTGTTTGGTTATTTTGGTTTTGGGTTATGTTGTTTTTTTTGTTTGTATTTTTTGGTATTTTGGTGTATGTTGTGTATGTTTTTTGTATTTTGGGAAATGTTGGTATTTTGGGTGTATGTTATTTTATTGGGTGTTTTATGTTTGGGGTGTATGTTGTGTATTTTTGAAATAGGGTTTGTTTTTATGTTGGTATTTTGGGTGAAATGTTGGGGGTTTTGTTGTGTAGGGTTGGGGGGGGGGGGTTTGGTGTTTTTTGGTATGTTGGGGTATTTTGGTATGTTGGGGGGGGGGGTTTTGTATGTTGGTATGTTGGGGGAATTTGGGTTTATGTTGGTGTATTTTGTGTATTTTGGGTGAAATTTTGGGATGTTTGTATATGTTGGTAGTTGGTATATGTGTATGTTGTTATGTTGTGTATGTTGTTATGTTGGTTTTAAATGTTGTGTTATGTTGGTATTTATGTTTGGTATGTATGGTGTATGTTGGTGTATGTTGGTGTGATTGTGTACGTTATGTTGGTTGTATGTTGTTATGTGGTGTATGTTAGTTGGTGTATGTTGTTATGTTGGTGTATGTTGGTATGTTGGTGTATGTTATGTTGCTGATGTTGTTGTATGTTGTTATGTTGGTGTATGTTGTTATGTTGGGTATTTTGTATGTTGGTGTATGTTGTTATGTTGGTGTATGTTGTATATGTGTATTGTATTTTGGTGTATGTTGGTATATTGGTGTATGTTGTTATGTTGGTGTATGTTGTGTTGTAGCGTCATTGATGCTTCATGTGTCACCATACTTATTGTATATTTTTGTATGTTAGTTGGTATTTTTAGTGTATGTTTAGTGTATGTTGGTATATTTTCGTATGTTGGTATGTATATCATGTTTGTGTTTATGTGTATGTATATATGTATTTGTATGTATATGTGTATATATGTTTATTTGTATGCATATATGTATATGTGTGTATACGTATGTATATGTGTATTTGTAGTGTGGTGGTGTGTGGTGTGTGTGTTTATGTACATGTATAATTATGTGTATATGTATATATGTGTGGTGAGTCCCTCAGCCTGGAGGCTGAGGGACTGACCCTCTCAAAACCACGTCTTCAAGGGTGAGAGACTGATGACGTCTTCACATTTCTACTGCTTCTTCTAAACTTTTCTATACTCGACTGAAGATGCCTGCTATGTAGGCGAAACGTTTCGGAATAAAAACGCTTAACTGTGCACACGTGTCTTATAAACCCGACCGTATTATATACTACAACAGTCAGCTGTGTGGTGGGCGAAATGTTGTCGGTAATGATCGTGTTATGCTACGTTTCTCTCGTTTCCATCACTGGGACAAGATCTGTAGTCTTGACTGGAAGCAGTAATACGCTTAGTATTTTCTATTCAACCTCTTATAAACATAATTCTTTGGATAATAAACTAATCTTGATATAATTTGCATATTATTACTTAATCCTGTCTCATCTATAGCGTGTGAATTTAGAATTAGATGTAGTCACTCGAATTCTTTTTCTAGTTTTATATATATATATATATATTATAATATATAAATATATATATATATATATATATATATATATATAATATATATATATATATATATATATATACATAGCTAGGAGCTATGTATCGACCCCTGCAGCCACAAATAAGTGAGTACACACCCCCTCGCTCTCTTGCTCTCTTGCACACGCTCTATCTCTCTCTCTAGCTCTCTTTTCCCCCTCCCCTTTTTCATTTCTTTTGGTGTAATGAGAATACACACTTCTACACCATTTTGTTGCCTTTCCGTCGTCCAAATTTTTCGATACTGTGAGGCCCAGGTAACCCCCTTTTTGGGGCTAATTAAGGTAACCTTGATGACTCTGCCCCCTCAGGATCATTGTTTTCCAAACCTTAATTGGTTTGAGGAAGTTTCTTTAATCCCCCCCCCCCTTTAAAAAAGGCCTGGAGAGGGGTAATTACCCTTTTTCCCTCCGGTAAAGGGGGGAATTCCCTTTAAGGCCTGGAGAGGGGTAATTACCCTTTTCCCCTTTGGGAAAGGGGGGAAATTCCCTTCCCGGTTTTGGGGAAAGGGGGTTTTTTTTCCCCGGAAAAAAGGGGAATTCCCTTTCCCCCCTGGGGGGGGGAAATTTTCCTGGGGAAAAAAAAAAAAAACCCCCTTTGGGGGGGGAAAATTCCCTTTTCCCCCCCTGGTAAAAGGGGGGTAAACCCCCTTTAAAATAGGGGAAAATTTTTACTTGGTAAAGGGGAAAAAACCCTTTCCGGCGGAAGGGGTTTTTTTACCCAAAGGGGAATTTCCCCAAGGGGGAAGGGGAATTTTTTCCAGGTAAAGGGGTTTCCCTTTTTCCGGGCCCGGAAAGGGGGGGTTTTTTTGTTCACAACAAAAAAATTTTGAAAGGCTAAATCTCTTTTTTTCGAAGAGGGGGGGTTGTTAAACCCCCCCAAAAAATTTTTTTTTGGGGATTTTCGTTTTTCCGGAGCGAAATGTTGTCCAGCCGTCACGGCTGGTCGGTGCCACTGTTTGCTGGTATAAAACTTGTAATAAATACCGAGAAATTGGTTTAGGACTGTAAGCAGACACTAGGACATCGTTTCGGTCGGACACGTTTTTTAATAAATAAATATGACCTGGTGTTTACTTACTAGTTTGTGTGTGACTGGAATCGCTAGGAGTACGAAGACAGGTCGTCCTGGAATCCAACCAGTCAGTCCCTCAGCCTGGAAGACTGAAGGTCAGATAATCGACACAGGACAAGGTTTTCCTGACGAGGGTCTTAGTGATAGTAGCTTCTGGTCATCTGACAGAGGCCTTCTACTGGCTTACCCCCACCCCTTTAAATATTATTTTTGAGAAGATATTGCCGTAAATTCTTATGAGACGTTTCGCCTGTGGATAGGCTCTTTCAGTCTCAAGTGTGGCTACGTTTCACTCTCAAGGATCTTTGTCGAGCCAGTAGAAACTTGAAAATTTGCTGCCTCTGTGTTTGACTGGAACCTACTGTGAAGGCGAAACGTTTCAACAATTGAGTTACCCAACTGTTGTAGATGTTTTACTCGTTAATAGACACAATATAGTGGTACACAATACTGAGTTGTTGGTAAGACATGTGTGCGACAGGTATCTGTACTCCGAAACGTTTCGACTACACAGTAGGCTTCGTCAGTCGAGTACAGAAAAGTAACAGAAGCACTCGAGATTGTTCCAGTCACGGTATTGTGCCTCTTATGTTATTTATTGTTCCATAGTCTGGAACAGTGTTCCAGACAATGGAGCAACACTCCTCCAGGCTGAGGGACTGACCACCTCCAACCTACATCTTCAAGGTTGATGGACTGAGGACATCGTCTTTACATCTCTATTGCTTCTGCTTTTTTTTTTGTACACGACTGAAGAAGCCTACTGTGTGGGCGAAACGTTGTACACATGTCTTAAAGAGAATACATCTCGACTTAGAGTAGATTCTGATTATAAGTTAGAATGCAGAGTTATTTAAACACTGAATAATAAAAAAATAATTGATAATCTGCAGATAGGCAAAAGTTATCTGGATTTAAGTGGAATCTGTTGTTATAAATTGAGTAAGATCTGGGAATAGAATTGAATACGTGTCTTACAGCGTGCGTGGGGCGACCAACGCTTTAAGGAACTACATTGTCCCGCGCTGCCAGACGTGAGTACCTTGTGTATGTTACTTATTGGTGTGAGAGAGAGAGAGAGAGAGAGAGAGAGAGAGAGAGAGAGAGAGAGAGAGAGAGAGAGAGAGAGAGAGAGAGAGAGAGAGCAAGCAAGGGGGAGCTAAAGTAGGTCTCTAAGATTCTTGTTCTAAATTGGAGCCACCCTTCCCTTCCTCGCATGAAGTCTGGTTACTTCCCATTCCCGAGGCGATTTATGACCCTTGTGGGTTTAATGCTTGCCCATGAATATAATACGAATGGGATACAAACATGATTATAAGACCCAGACGTTGCCAAATAATATAAATCTACTTGCTCGACACGAATCCTGAGTTCGTTTGTCGATGATAATCTTTGTTTCTACCAGTACACGACACAACTTATACAGACCATAGCTCAGATCATTGACATACTATATAGTAAGCCTCTTGTTATGCAGAACATTTCGGAGAAGTTAGATTAATTTTGTCCCCAGGATGCGACCCACACCAGTAGGCTGACACCTAGGTACCTACTTACTGCTAGATGAACAGGGACACCAGGTGCCTTAAGGAAACACGTCCAAATGTACCCACCCGTACCGGGGATCGAATCGCGGATCTCATTGTGAGCTGAGTGCGCTACCAACCGAGCCACTGTATACCTTAAACAGGAATAAATCCAGTGTAATCCTGTGTACTAAGATTCCACGGTGTTACTGTCAGACAAAAATACTAGAATAACATAAGGATCCCTGCGCAAGCTTACCGTATAAATAAAGAATTAGACACATGTACAACATCTGGGAATCTTTATTGAGGAAACGTTTCGTCAACGTTTCGTCAATAAAGATTTCCAAGAGTTGCACATGTGTCTAATTTATCAGCTTGTCGGTTCTCTGAACCGTTCATCTACATGTATCGCCAGCCAGTGGCTTTATCAAGGGAGGTTCCTTGACACTGGTGAGGGGCTGTTGATCTAGGGAATTGGATCTGTGTTCTGGTTCCCTGAATTAAGCCTGCGTACCTTCCACATCCTACAGGTTTAGCGCTTCCCCCTTGATTATAATGCTTATCTGTGGAAGTCAGCAGTCTGGCATTGTTATAACTCAGTGTAATACCTTTCCTTTGATGACCTTCCTGATAGCAGTCCTTGGAGACGTTATGATAATGACAGTGGTAAACCCGTGTGGGCCATTCTGCACAGGGTTGAGGCTCGAGTCTCTGGCCCCACGTACTAAGAGAAAACACCATAAGTGTCCGGGGCCCAAAACTGTTCAACAGCCTCCCATCAAGCATTAGGGGAATTGCCAATAAACCCCTGGCTGCCTTCAAGAGAGAGCTGGACAGATACCTAAAGTCAGTGCCGGATCAGCCGGGCTGTGGCTCGTACGTCGGACTGCGTGCGGCCAGCAGTAACAGCCTAGTTGATCAGGCCCTGATCCATCGGGAGGCCTGGTCATGGACCGGGCCGCGGGGGCGTTGATCCCCGGAATAACCTCCAGGTAACCTCCAGGTAACCTGGCAGTCTTCAACGGTACAGTCGTGCGGGTAACAGATCGTAAGATTAATCTAGGAAATCCTGTACTGATCAGTATTTAAACTATACATGTATATGTAACAAGTTTTAAGATTGGATAATCTATTGATTAAGTTTTAATATAACACAATTAAAACAGTGTAGTTTTTGGGGGCAGGCACCATACATATTTTAAAGACGAGGTATATAAAGCCAGGGAGCGGGGAGAAAAGGGATTTTGTAGCGATAGTGGAGAGGCGGGGCCAGGACATATCGACCCCTGAAACCAAAATTGGGTGAGACCACACATTTGGGAAGTTGAAGAACAGATGAATCCGGGATGTTAGGAAGTATTTTTTTCAGTCACAGAGTTGCAAAAGTGGAATAGTCTGTGAAGTGAGTAGTGGAGGCAGGACCAACATATTTTAAGAAGGGGTTTATGATGGAGCTCAGGAGCGGGGAGAATACCTAGAGCAACCAACAAAAAAACGGCAACCGGGAACTTGAATCGACCCCTGGAAACCCTCAAATAGGTGAGAAATGCCGCGCGCATGTACAGAAAGCGTCCCGGAAGCTGTAACAACACCCCCAAAAACCCGTGCAGAAACCCCCGGGCGTACAAGTACAATAGAAACACACGTTACCTCATATACAAATAAACAAGACGTAATTTCAATCCACGTTTTTTTAAAGATTAAAGCCGTACGACGAGTTTAGGGTTATCTTATTTTTTTAAGCATAATTGGGTGATGATCTATCTTTAAAACCAATGTCATACGGGGGTTTTTAAATTTCAGTGGTCGTTGGTTTTAATCCGAAAGGGAAGTCTTAAGGGTTAAATATTGGGTCCCGTAGCTGGTTGGTAGGCACCAGCACACACACTGAGTCCGTGGTTCGATCCCCGGTACGGGTGGAACTTTTAGGACGTTTTTTTCCTTAAACACCTGCTGTCCAAAAAAAGTTCACCTAGCATTAAAATGGGGAAACCTGGGTTTTTTTTTTTTTTTTTTGATTGTTTGGGGGTCGATCCTGGGAAAATTTTTAACCCAAAATTTGAGAAAATGTACATAACGGGACTTTCAATATGTATGTCATTGGTTACTTGATCGTATACCTTGACATTCTGGAAAACCTTTTAAACATGAACTTGTAACCTTTGTACATGTACTTGTATCCCTTTGTCCCCAAATGTACTTTTGTTACCTTGTCAGTCTGTAACCTTCATGTACTTTTTAAAACCTTGTACATTACTGGTATACCTTGTACTTACTTGTAAACCTTGCCCTTACTGGTATACCTTGTACATAAGAACATAAGAAAAAAGGGAACACTGCAAACCCTACTGACCCATGCGAGCGGGCCATTTTCCCCCCCCCCGAGGGACCCAATACCCCCCCCCCCGGATTGCCAATCCCCCCACCCACGGGTCACCTCAACCAAGGAAGGGCACGGCCCCAACCCAGCACCAAGCTGTCGGGCCAACTCACACCCCCCACACCCACCATGTATTTTCTAACCTATTTTTAAACTACACAACTTTTTAGCCTCAAAACTGACGGGGAGTTTGTTCCACTCATCCACAACTCATTACCAAACCAGTACTTTCCAATCCTTCCTGAATCTGAATTTTTCCAAAATTGAAACCATTGCTGCGATCCCGTCTGGCTGGGAAAATTTTCCCGCATCCCCTTTATTTATTCCTGTTTTTTCCCTTTATTACATATCCCCCCCAATTCTACCCCCCTTTCAAGAGTGCAGAATCAGGGGCCCCATCTCCTATAGGGAAGTTTCGATAAAGGGATCCTTTTTCATCCCCTCTTACATTTTCAGAATTTATATCCTTCTTAATAAAGTGCCGAAACCGAGCACAAGCAAATGAGGCCTAACCAAGATTTAAAAAGATTGAAGAAAACCTGAGGACTTTCCATTATTTAATTTCTAATATGAACCAAGAATTTTTTACTTTTATTGCAAAAACTAATCACTTTCTTGGTTTTTAAATTCTGCTAACCAAAACCCCCTAATCCCCTTTTCGCAACGAAATAAGACAAAATTATTTAGTTTTTATGGGCATGTTATTTTCCTGTCCAACATTTAGAACTTTGATTTGTCATATTAAATGCACTCCCATTTTCCGGACCCCCCGCTCAACTTAAAACTCTGGAGGCCAAAGTCCCATTAAATTAATTGCCGGTAATTTTTTAAAAAAAATTTGCTTATGCGCATTTTTTCCCATTGCGTTTATTAAATTGGAAACCAAGGCCCAAATGGGAGGAACACCGCTTGCAGTCCCCATTTTTTCTCCCCTTTATGAAATTTTTGCCAAAGGGAGCCAACCTTTACCCAGGAAAAAAATTTCCCTTTTTCCCTTGCCTATTTTTGTTTTTCCTCAATAGCCTCGGGGTGGAACTCTAACGAAAACCCTTTCCCGAAGTCCATATACACAATATCATATTTTTTCCAGATCACCCCTCAAACCTTAGTAAAAAAGTTAGTAAATTTTAAGACAGGAACCCCCTTTGTAAAAACCCTGTGAAAACATTAATCAATCTTTGCCTTCAAAAGCTAGAATTGCTTTGGCAATATTGATTTCCCTAAAATTTCCCACATGGAGGTAAGGGTTATTGTCTATTTTCGAAGCCAAGGACCTTCACCTGCCTTGTAAATAGGGATTACATTTGCCATTTTCCACTTTAAACAAGCCCATCCAGTTTGTAGTGAAGTTAAAAAATTAGCCAAAGGGATCTAAGTTCCTCTTTACATTCCTTTAACATCCTTGCAAACAGTTCATCAGGGCCTGGGGATTTGTTAGGTTTTAGTTTCTCTATTTGTCTGATGACCATGTCACTAGTTACCGCAATCGTATATAGTTTATTATCATCCTGTTCTACATAATCTATTATTTCAGGAATATCGCTAGTATTTTCCTGGGTGAAAACTGAGAGGAAGTAGGTATTTAGAATTTCACACATATTCTTATCACTCTCAGTGATCTGACCAGAGTTACTCTTCAGTGGGTCAATCTTGTCCCTAATCTTACTTCTGTATACCTGAAAGAATCCTTTTGGGTTAGTCTTTGAATCCCTTGCGACATTAGCTTCATAATCCCTTTTTGCTTTTCTTATTCCTTTCTTTAGTTCTCTCTCTAACTGAATATATTGATTTCTTAACTGCCCATCCCCTCTTTTGATACGCCTATATATGCCTCTCTTTTGACCAATGAGATGTTTTAATCTATTGTTCATCCATTTAGGATCATTTTTGTTAGATCTAATTTCCCTACTCGGAACAAAAGTTGTCTGGGCAGCTAGAACAATGTTCTGAAAAACGTCATATTGGCAACCAAGATCACCTACCTGACCCATAGTCAAGACATCCCAATTTAGCCCACCCAGGTAATTTTTCAGTCCCATGAAGTCGGCCAAGCGAAAATCTGGGACAGAGATTTGATTGCAGTTATCTGGGTAATTCCATGATATATTGAAACTAAGTGATTTGT